AGATAGATAGATAGATAGATAGATAGATAGATAGATAGATAGATAGATAGATAGATAGATAGATAGATAGATAGATAGATAGATAGACAGGGTGAAGGCATGCAGGTGGAACATCACTGTAATGGTTTTCTGTTGATTGCAGATTTTATCCACGATAGATAGCCCACAAGTTCAAAACAGATTCCAGTGATATACAACATTATAGATAGGCCTAGAATTCTAAAAGATCCATTGAATGTTGAAACAATCTTGTTTTTGATTATCTTTGGCAATGTTCTCTTTTAACAGATTTCCAACCCTTCCCACACCCCCACCCCTCCCACCCCACTTCCCAAGAAACAAAATAAATACAGCCAAGCAAACAAACAGAATGGGCCTATCCATGCTTTCACAAAATGCACAGTTGTATAAAACTTATGCGATCGCTTCAGTCATGGTTTTATGCTACAAGAAACATCTAGGATTTGTCAATTTAATTCTTATTCTTTTGGGGGTGGGCAGGGGTGCCCTTTTTGGTTGTGGATATCTACGAAATGAGAAAATACGGACAAAATATTACCTTTTTGGGGGAAACATCCACTTTCCATTAAGCTATAAACCTTTTAGCACTCTCGTCTCGCTGGAGCTGAATCTAGACTCTGTGTCTGTAATGTAAGAAATTGCCATGAAAAAAAAAAATGAATCCTGACTCGTGGGAAAACACAATTTTTAGTACCCAAATATTTCAAGCAATTCCTTTGTGTCTAATATTCCACCGTCATTATTCAGTATAAGCATCCAATCAGATGAAAGGAAAAACAGCACCTGAACAAAGGCGACACCAAGAGGCTTTTTAGATGAAAGCAGCTTTCGAAGCACTTGGAGGGGTAAAGCGATTACGGGGGAAGGGGGAGTGAGGGGAGAGTGAAAGGGGGGGGGATACAGCATTCAAGCGGGTAGACAGAGACTTTCGATTTCTTTAATAACAAATCGCGACCTCAGTGCTTTCTTATCGTATGTCCAATTTTTTAAACAGTGAAAATGTGACTTCTTCTTAAGCTCATTCTTTGCTATGAACTATTTTCATTGTTGTTAAAAATGGAGATACGACAAGAAAGCGCTGAGGTGGCGAAATTTTGCCACGTTTTTGTGTTGGTTTTCTTTTTCTTTCTTTTTTTTGGTAAGAGTTGCGGGTCTTGCTTAACAAAAGAACTGAGTACACTCTTCTCCTGTCTATTTTGATTCTTAGGGAAGAGCTGCAAAACATTATATTATCTCAGCTAAATGCTTCTAGCGTATCCTTTTACCCGACCAGGCGCACATAAATGTAAAAAAAAGTTAACCTTCTTATTAATACCATGTCTTATCAACTAGAAGTCATTCTTTTTAAAAATGTTACCCCAACCTTTTAATTAGAAAAAAAGAATTATCTATCTCAAAGTTCGCCTTACACAATTTTATCATTTCTTTACTTCTACTTCTCTTTTCCTCTGCTGCGTGGTGGGTTTTTAAAAAACTTTTTTACATTCTTACAAACTAATCAGGAAAGACGTTTGTGTGGAGAGAAAAATTAAAGAAAACGTCGCCGCAAAAAAAAATAAAAAAAAAATTACTCAGACAAATATCTGTAAACTAAATCAATACTTAAAGAATGAACAAAAGAATCAGCAATTATTTAAAAACGAAACAAAACAACTCACGACTTAATGAAGGAACGAATGAGTAAACAAGTACATAAACATATTGACACATGAACGAAAGAGTAAATATTCCAAAAAGTTAACGATTAAAATGAATGAACGAATAAGTAAAATAGTATTCACAACTAAGTAACCAATGAATAACTAAAATATGATTGAGTGCTTTAAAAAAAGCCATGGCTGAAGAGAATTTTTAAAAATAAAATAAATAAATTTACGAACGGATCAAAGAACGATGGAATAAATACACAAAGAAACAAACAAAATGTTACGTTTTAATAAGCGTTTCTTTTGAGATAAACGTGATTTTTAAAAAGTGCAGATTAATGCAGGTATAACAAAAATGATTATACAAATTTTTAATACAAAGAAGCAAATAACAGTGTAGATTATAAATGTGGACTAAATCACATTTTGTTTGTTTGAGAAAGGGAAGGGGCGCCTCAACATGATAAGGATGAATTAGTGCCAGGTACAGCAATGCAGACAGATGGAAACTATTACTATATTGTTTGTTTTAGTAGAGGTTTTACAGCGCTCGCAACTGCATAAGGTCATATGAGCGCCAAGGGGAGGATGTCAACAGAGAAGTCCTTACAGGGAATCAGGCTTACTCTACTCACCTCTGTAGCTTCAACAGCACAAAGTCTGCTTCGACTATCAAGGTACCCCGGGAATAGCGGGTCACAAGAGTGTGACAAACATACATACAAACGAAGTAGAGGAAAATGACGATAGGATTAGGAAAGAAAGAGCAGAAGTTCTCTGTTGTAGTTCAGGCACAGTTTTGAGCATGACATCGGTGGATCAGCCCATTTACAATTCTACTGTGCATTAGAACGAGAATTAATGTTCCCCCTTTGCGAATGGCCTAAAGACACTTCAGTGAGTGGAACCGCCCCGGGAGTATGGGAATGTTAAAAGGCGGGACGAGTCAGAGACACCCTCCCACTGCCCACGACAGGATGAATTGA